TTTTTTTTTAGCCTTGCAAAATGTAGTGAGTAAACTTAATTAAACTACATATTTTAATTGTCCACAGTTCAGTTTTGTGTAAATTAGAATATTTCACTGTAAAATAAAGAAATTGAGTATTTGAGAAAAAATTTACTTTCTTTTACAGTACAACTGTCTTAATTTCTTAATTTTTAAACTTTCAGCCATCTAGATTTTATTTTGGTGGAAAACTGCACAGAGACTTTGTTTCATTTTGATGAATCAGGTAGCCCTAATATAAAATACAACATGTGATGTCTCTCCAGCCCATCCATGATCTGAGGTACTCGCTGGTGAAGAGGTCTCTGCTGGGCACGGTATCTGACAGTGGCTCTGTGGCTCTCTGGGATGCTAACACTCAAAAGGAGCTGCATTTGTTCGAGGGTACACACAAAGCCCCGTGTTCAGGGCTGGCCTTCTCTCCGGCCAATGATTTGCTCTTCATCACTGTGGGCCTTGATAAGAAGATCGTCTGTTATGACACTTCCAGCAAAATGTAAGAGAAATCCCATCACATTTAATATGCAATTTGGACACTGGAGTTTGATTTCGAAGCTGTAATGTGTGTGCTTGTCCCCACAGGGTGTTTCGTAATAAGCAGGTGGATTCTCCACTCACAGCCATTGATTTTACTCCAGATGGGGCTGGACTGGTTGTGGGCTCAACGCAGGGCAGAATTTATATGTACGATTTGAGAAACCTCAGTGCACCGGTCAAAATCACCACAGCTCACAAGACGTCAGTGACCTGCATTCGCTTCCAGAACTCCACCTCCAAGTTAAAGGTACAGCTGTCTGTTATTTTGTACATAAACACATTTCTACAGAACCACCCTCAGTTTCATGTGAGGTAGCGTTTTTTTTGTTAAACTGACTCATTTCCTTATCATTCAAAATGTGGGGATAAAAATATCATGCAAACGTTTGTTTATTTAATTGTTTATTTCTTTTTTTTGGTAACTTCTGACATAGCTTAGAAATTCTGCAAATTGTTCAGAGTGAGAATATATTTTAATTGATTAAAGCATGTAACATGCAATGCTTTTTATATGAAATTAGAAATGTCATTTCATTAGTTTGAATTAATTATATTTTAATTGTTTTCTTTTAAATTGTATTATTTTCTTAAGTTGTATGTATGTATTTATTTACTTATTGTAATATGTTTTTGTAACATCTGATGTAGTTAAAAAATATATTCTAGGAATTGTTAATTATTCAAAATGTTCAGATTGAGAATATATTTTAATTGATTGATTGGTAACATGCAGTGACATGAAGTAATTAATTACTTTGAATTCATTTCATGTAGAATTTTAATTAGTGTAAAATTATTGAATATTTTAATATTTAATTATTCTAATTGTTATTACCTTTTTTTAATTAGTACTATTTTTATTTAACTTATTTATAATTGTTGTAATGTCTGATATAGTTTTAAAAATATGTTCTAGGAATAATTAATTATTTAAATTATGATTAAAGATGCAATAACATGCATTTTATATGAAATAATTGAATAAACTTACTTACATTTTTATGTATTGTGAATCTTATTTAATTATTTTTTTAATTGTATCTTATTATTTATTTCTATACAATTTTTGTAACATCTGAAGATTTTAAAAATGTTGCCCCTACATTCAACCGTTCAAGATAATTGAAACGGACTCTGGTTATAGTTGATATCAAAAACCAGCCCTGTTTCCACAGTCCACTAAAACATCCAGCAAGTCTTCTCAATCAAGTAAGAGGATCTCAGTAAAACTGGGCGGTCAGCAGACGGGACCCTCTACTCCAACATCTACAGTCCCACCCGGTGTGCCAGGCTCTGAATTTCCTGGTGATGGACAAGCCCAAGTCACAGGTCCACCTTCCTTTTTATAGCTATAGAATATTTTATTCCTTATTCAGTCATATTTGGTTAGCATTTAAAGCCCTGTTTATAGCTTTTGTAAAGGTTTTATGGGTAGTGAATGTTTTGTTTTTGTAGGTACTGCTGGAGAGGTGTTCACCAGTGAGGCGGAG